CGTGTGCTTGCCAGACAGACAGACAGAAAGCGAGAAATCACCCCCCAGGGGGGATGGCCACGCCGCAATCCCTTCTCCTCCATTCTCCTCTTGGGATCTTGGGCACGCATGCACATACGCTCGGCGTGAGTTTAAGCCACTGGGTCCGGAACTCGAACCGTGGTCGACTGCGTGGGAGTCCAGCGACATAGCCATTACACTAACTGCTGGTCCCTCAAAAAGATTTTTTTAAAAGAGAATGAAGATGAGGGCTCTGTCAGAGCTGTTACAGTGATGAGTGAGAGGGTCGGGTCCAGGACTGCAGAAGCTATAGAGTAACATTTTGGGGGGAGCAGTGAGATGGCTTGGGAAGGAATGACTAGAAACAGGCCATTTGGAGATGACTACTGATTTTCAGCTCGAAGAACTCTGGGAATGGCTAAACTATTTTTTTTGAGTAAGAAATGCAGTACTTATTTATGAAATTTGGATTTTGCCAGGCAGCTAGAAATTTGCTCAGAGTTTAGGAGCACTGATGCAAGGAGGAACAAACCAGTCTTTAACACAGATCCCTTTTCTACCCCACTTCTGCATATCACGTGACCCTGCTTAAAAACTTTTAAGTATATTCTCTTACTTTATCAAGATACAAATACTTTAGAATTAAATATACGACCCTCCCAAATGTAGCCTCCATTGACCTTTCCGAGTCATTCTTTCTATACTCCATTTTTCCTCCATCTTGGTTCCTCTATACTGTTCCCAGATAAAAACCTTTACACTGCTGGACTTTGGTACTTGAAATTTCCTCTGCTTAGAATGTCTCACCTTTCCTCTGTCTGGCAAACTGGACTTACCTTTTGAAATCCACCTTGAAGGTAACTCTTTTGGCAAGCTCTATACAACTTTCTTTCTCACCCAGACAGGGCTCCTTTCTTTGGGAACACAGAGAATGTCATGCTTATTTCTACAACAGTGTTTCTCAAGGCATGTGTGCTGAGTGCTCACAAGGGCCACAAAGTGTAACTACTCCTCCACATGAATTATTTTATATTATCCTTACAAGTCCTTTGGGGGGGAGAGACACTTATTACTTCATGTCACAGTGACAAAACTGAGTTTGGAGTGGCTCAGTGACTCGTGTTAGGAAATACAGCCAGGAGGTGGAGGCAGGGATCTGAGTGTAGACCATCTGACTCCAGAGCTTGCAAGCACCATTTTTTCCTACATGACTGCTTAATTAGCCAACCAGTTCCTTCAAAGGCAGAGTTCCAAGATGACTGATCTGAAACTTCTAGCAACTAGCATAGAGTCCAGTACCCAGCAGATGCTTGGTAAGATATCTGCATTAAAATATAGTGACTGCCATGAAAATGCCACTTTGTAAACACATGCTTTCCTCCTTCGACTGACATATAATCAGGGGTTTCTGCCGATATTCATTTGCTTCCAAGAGGGTGGAAACATATGGCCGAGAGACAAGATACTTTATATGCTGGCAGAACTAGAAATCTCAGCTCATACTGGAGACAATGAACTATGGCTTCAGGAGGATCCTCTATGGAGATAAATTTTCTTTCACTAAATATAATTTTATTTTTACTCTTAAATACAAATAAAAGCAGGCACACAGACACCCCGTTTGTACTGCTTACTCCCTCCCAATATAAGAAGGAAATCCAAGGTAACAGAGGAAGGAGAGAGAAAGGCTGCTTACTTTGGTGCCTCTCGAACCTGAGTGGACATCCAAATAAATAGCTGGGGCTCCTGTGGAAATGCAGGCCTGATTTCCTTAGTCTGTGGAAGAGCTCAGGACTCTGCCTGGCTAACAAGCTCCTGCATGCTGTGCTGGGGCTCGGGCTGAGCTGACCAGCCAGGGCTCAGCTCAGACAGAACTATGCACATGAGAGAGGAGACAACTACTGAAGATGCTGGAAAAAACACCACCAGCAAGTGCAGTAAGAAACTTCTAACAGTATGCTGCACAGATCAGAAGGCAGAAGACTCCCCGAGCTATGGCCAATTCCACTTCAGACACAGTAACTTTCCTGGCTTTTTATCAACCAGAGACTTTATTAATAGACAAGTTTTAGTCTTTTCTGATACAGAAATAGTCAACTTTTAATGACAATCGTTGTTTAAATAAAAAAAAAAATCAAATGATTGATTTTCTTTTGAATAAAATGAACAATTGTCATAAAATTTAATGACCACTTTTTTAAGTAGAATGTATGTGGTTAGAACTTGTAAGTGATCTGGTTTTTGTCATTTAAATAAGGATTAACTTTTATGTTAACTAACCATCCTGATCTGTTCACATCTTAACGGAATAGTACAGTTTAGAATGCCTAATTTGAACCAAACTCAGGCACTGGAAATACTGAGGTCTATGGTTTAAGCCAATGCTGAGCTGTTTGAATGGGTGGGAAATTTGGAAAGTAAC